GCCCCATGAAACCGCACAACCTGTACGAAACCCTGCTCCCTGTTCCTTTTTAGGCACGAAGTAGCCTTATAGTATACCCAGGATTCAGCCGGCCCGAGATTCGATTTGTGTGGCCCTTTATGCATTTCGGAAATTTTCTATACGATTTTAATGAGATTTTGCAGACTTGTAGAACTTTGAACGCTGATTCTGATGCTGAAATCTGGTTAAAAAGTCAACGGCCAATTTTGAGAATTTGCTGTCAAAATCGCCGTTTCCATGGCAAAACTCGACTCGTCACAGGAAAAAAAGGGAGTGGGGGGAGCCGAGCCGAGCCGACCAATAGCGGAGCTTCTTTTTGGGTCTGTACAGCTTACTCCAAAAGCTGAAATAGCACGTTCGAAATGAAAAATTTCTTTGACTGCAGGTAGACAAGATGCAACAATAGAATTGGTGTCGTTTCGAACGTGGCCATTTGGATCGGCCGGCCGGCCAGTGACTTTTTATGAGAGTGTCCCGCACCAATCCCGCACCGCTGCGTTGTTGTTTTTGCTGTTGTTTTGTTGAAAATTTTTGTTACTCTTCAAATCGGAGTGAATTGAGCCATTTAACTGCGTACCTGTGCTCATGCATCTGTGAATTATCTTTCCTTAATGTAGTTTAAGAGTCGCTTTAAGACTTTTAGTCTCTTTTTGAATAAGCTGGTCATATAGCTGCTCCTTTTAACCAGGTTTGATGGTACTTCTGATTCAGTTAGCACCATGATCACTTCGCTCCACCTCGCGACTTTCAGTGCTCATGTTCTTCGAACAAGACTCACCCGCGTTTCGAGACCATCCCTCTCGAGTTTATAAAGTTTGTCAAGCCAACCGTCGTGGTGTTGCTACGTTGTAAGTGAGAACTATTACACAGAATTGAAGAAAACATGACTAGAGAACCGTAGCCTTTTGAAACAAGCCAAACAATTCAACGTCAGCAACAATGGAGGGGCAGTTTTAATGCGCGACTATACTCGTGTTTTCAGCTTCGCGATTTTCGCAAGGGCGCAGGCGCCGACAAAATTGTTGCCAACCTGCGAAAATTAATTTACTGCCTTCTTTCTGCAACCAAAATTTTCATAATGATGGACTTCAAAGATGTTCCTTTGTCGGATCACTGTGGAATACATTAGCATTGGAATTTTTCGAATTTCCCGGCATTTTGATTTCTCTTTATTGCCATGGTTAAATTTTGACGGGTGGCACATCGACCACATTGGCACCACTGCCATTCGTAGCCACCCTTGAGCCACCCCCTACCTTTTACATAACTTTTTTGCTTTCCCCACACTCCTACCCAAATTGACTTCGTGACTCCTAGGATTTCTTGAAATCGTATTTTTTCCCTTTATTTCTGTCCCCTTGCTTACGCCCGCTTATTTGCTTTCTTTTAACTGGCGGATTCACTTTCTCCCGAAAGGCGACTTGAATCGGGTGCAGGGCCTGCAGGCGAAGATGGCCATTATCTCCATGGAGTGAGTGCGATGTCGTCGGAGTGGCCGGTCTCCACCCGCCGTTCTGGAATCTGCCGGCCCGCTTTCTAGATCCCGACATGATTAGCGCGCTAATACACTCGCGGGTAAAGCGACCGCGGTCAAGCCGTCCCCACAGATTCGGCGGCGTGATAGGCCGGAGTGCGCCGCGTCATGGCCCTTAAGGCCCTCCAGCAGACTGATTCCGAGAATCGTCGCTCTGTCCCTCTCGCGACTGTACGGGACGCCGCATGAGTGTGAGGGAGACAGCGACGGAAACGACTCTCTGCAGGCCCTGCCGCGCGCGAGATGAGCCCTTTCCGCTGCTCTGCGTCAAGAAGTGAGGTCCCTAGCCGGCCCAGGTTTCCCCCTGTGCACCCCTACACCGAACAAGCCAACCTAACCTAAGCTAACCTAACCTGAGCTAACCTAGCCTAACCTAAGCTAACCTAGCCTAAGCAAACCTAGCCTAACCTAAGCTAACCTAGCCTAACCTGAGCTAACGAAGCCTAACCTAGCCTAACCTAAGCAAGCATAGCCTAAGCAAACCCAAGCTTACCTAGCCTAACCCAGCCAGCCCCTGACAGGTGCCCCCTGGCCGTCGAAAGCGCCCTCGGCATGCCCGGCTTTCTCTGCGTGCGGGGAGCGAGTGGTGAGGCGGCAGGGGTGGCGAATGGTACGCGCGGGACCGGTACGGCGCTCGTGTCCGCACTTCGAGTCGCTCCGTCTCTCTCGCACCCCTACGGCCAAGCCTACGGCCAAGCCTACGGCCAAGCCTACGGCCAAGCCTACGGCCAAGCCTACGGCCAAGCCTACGGCCAAGCCTACGGCCAAGCCTACGGCCAAGCCTACGGCCAAGCCTACGGCCAAGCCTACGGCCAGCCTACGGCCAAGCCTACGGCCAAGCCTACGGCCAAGCCTACGGCCAAGCCTACGGCCAAGCCTACGGCCAAGCCTACGGCCAAGCCTACTACGGCCAGCTACGCCAAGCCTACGGCCAAGCCTACGGCC